TTGTTTTGATTTGCATTTCTCTAATCAATAGTGATTTAGAGCATTTTTTCATATGACTATAGATGGCTTTAATTTCTTAATCTGAGAATTGCCTGTTCATATTCTTTAACCATTTATCTATTGGGGAATGACTTGTATTCTTATAAATTTGACTTAATTCTCTATATATTTTAGAAATGAGGCCCTTATCAGAGACACTAGTTGTAAAAATTCTTTCCCAGTTTTCTACTACTCTCCTAATCTTGGTTGCATTGGCTTTGTTTGTGCAAAAACTTTTCAATTTAATGTAATCAAAATTATCCATTTTGCATTTCGTAATGTTCTGTATCTCCTGTTTGGTCATGAATTCTTCTGTTCCCCGTAAATCTGACAGGTAAACTGTTCCTTGCTCTCCCAGTTTGTTTATAGTATCAGCCTTTATATCTAAATCATGAACCCATTTTGACTTTATTTTGGTATATGATGTGAGATTTTGGTCTATGCCTAGTTTCTGCCATACTCCTTTCCAGTTTTCCCAGCAGTTTTTGTCAAATAGTTAGTTCTTATCCCAGAAGCTGGGGTCTTTGTGTTGATCAAATAGTAGGTTACTATAGTTATTGACTACTGTGTCTTGCATACCTAACCTATTCCACTGATCCACAACTCTATTTCTTAGCCAGTACCAAGTAGTTTTGATGATTGCTGCTTTATAATACAATTTAAGATCTGGAACAGCTAGGCCACCTTCCCTTGCATTTCTTTTCATTAGTTCCTTTGATATTCTGGACCTTTTGTTATTCCAAATGAATCTTCTTATTATTTTATCTAGCTCTATAAAATAATTTTTTGGTAGTTTGGTATGGCACTGAATAAGTAAATTAGCTTAGGTAGAATTGCCATTTTTATTATATTAGCTTGGCCTACCTTTGAGCAAGTGATGTTTTTCCAATTATTTAGATCTGACTTTATTTATATGAAGAGTGTTTTATAAATTGTGTTCATATAGTTCCTGGGTTTGTTTTGGTAGGTAGACTCCTAAATATTTTATAATGCAGATGATATGATGATATACTTAGAGAATCCTAGAGAATCAAGTAAAAAAAAAACTACTTGAAATAATAAACAACTTTAGGAAATTTGCCGGCTATAAAATAAACCCACGTAAATCGTCGGCCTTTCTATACATTACCGACAAAGCCCAACAGCAAGAGATAGAAAGAGAAATTCCATTTAAAGTTACTATAGACATTACAAAATATTTAGGAGTCACATGGTTAAAATGCCTCCCATCACTGTCTCCTCCCCCCACCCTGTCTCACATGAAATGGCCCTGCTCCTTGCAAAGAGGGCAAGGAGATCTCTCTACATGCACCTTGATTGTGTCCCCTCCTATCTCTTCCAGCAGATTGCCCCCTCTATAACTCCCTTCAATTTATTCTTCTTTATTTATTGGCTCTTTCCCTGCTGCTTATAAACACATCCTTGCTCCCTTTTTCTTTAAAAAAAAAAAAAACAAACCCTAATTTGATCCAACCATCTCCAGTAGCTATCATCCTACATCTCATCTTTCCTTAGTGGCTAAAATCCTAGAGAAAACTGTCTACACTGATGTAAACTTTCTCTCCTCCCACTCACTTCAAAACTTTTCAGTTTGGCATTCTCACTCACCCTTCAACTGAAACTCCTCTCTCTCAAAGTCACCAGTAAAAAAACTGGGCTGGTGATTTTATATACATATATAATATATATATATGTGCATATATATGTGTGTGTGCATAGATAGACATGTGTATACCAACATATATGTGCACATACTTGTGTATATGTGTATCTATCCACACACATATATATGTAGGTAAGGATTTACTGAACTCTTAGTAAAAGGCAAGGTCCTCTATTGCGACAGAGAGGTGAGGAGGAGATGCTAGAGGCTTGAGAAGGAAAGAGGTTTGGAAAAGATTCTGTGAGACTCTCTCATTAAGAGAGAAATGAAAGCACTACCTTGCTATAGTGATGGCTAGCATGAACTTGCACAGTTGTGGGACTTCTGAAATTGCATTCAGTGTCTCATGAGGAGGTACATGGCAGGGGTGATCCAACATCAATCCAGCATGGCAGTTGATAAAGCAACAAGAAGGCAAAGGAGACAAGGGATTTAAATGCAGAAGACAATGCTGAGGTGAAATGTCTAACACTGGGTTGAAACTGGAGTGGTTAGACAGTGAAGGTGGAGGTTGTAGCCTGAGAAAGACTGAATGCTATAAGGATTGTCCTGTTGAGAGGGAATAGATTCAGGAAGGGTGAGACGTAGGGTGAAGTGGAATAAAGGAGTAAATAACAGATCAGAAGGAGGCCAAAGAATTCGGTAAGGCATTTGAGAGAACGTCTGTGTGATTATTGAAGTCTCCTGTTAGAAGGGTAGGAATTAGGAAGGGGAGAAAGATGGCTGGCCATGAGCTGAATTCCTTGAGAGAACAGTTGGGGATGCAATGTCAACAGAGGGGAGCCAGGTCTCAGTGAGGGCTAATGGATGGAAGCAATGTGAAAGAGGTCCAGGGCTAATGAGAAATTTGTCTCCCCTAAGCCTTCTCTTCTCCGGGAAAGCATTCTCTGTTCTTTCAACTGTGGCAAGTCTTCACACGGCATGAACTCAAGGTGCTCCTCCATCTTGGTCACCTGTCTTTAGATGCTCCCCAAATTCTCAGTGTCCTTCCTAAAACGTGCCCCTTAGAGCTGAGCATAGCTCCCTCCCCACCACATGCAGTGTGAGCACACTGAGGACCCCTCGGTGCAGCCACTGAAACAAAAATAATTTGCATGAATTTCAGTTTTAAATTTTTGGAAGAATGAATCAGTCTCTTCTTCTCATTCTGTTTCCTGCATGTGGCTGCCCTGTTTTCTCCACATGAGTAGTTATGTGGCAAAAACACCATCCATGCCAGGGAGTGGATGCGGAGAAAACCCAGGAAGCCCAGTGATGTTAATTAAGTTCTGCTTCAGAACTGCAAACGGGGAATGTTGCTCTCCCTTCCACGACAGCCTCCTAGCTTCCCCCTTTCTTACGAGAAAAGTATCCTCTCTGACATGTTAGGGATGCTCCCTTCCTTTGAAGGATCCAGGTTGGTGACTGATGTGAAGGTGTCATCTGTTTCCTTGGTCCTCAGGTCTAAGCTGTGGAATTTTTGAAAATTCGAATTGGTCAAGGGCTCAAAAGAGGAAGAACGGGAATTGGGAAGGAAACTGACAAATGTGCCAAACTCTAGCTACCCTGTAGGTGACTAAATCGGAACTGAATCACAGGCATCAACAATTAGGCCCATGAGTCAGTCAAATTTTCTTTGGGAATGCCTCTGGTACACATTATCTGCAGCAGGGAAGGAAAACTGGCAAATTCATGGTGCAAAGTTCAATTTATTCTTGGGGTGTAAAGGACAAACACTACTTAAGAGCCTTCATTTTGAATACCAGCGGAGCAAATGATGGGCTGAGTCTGGGTCCTGCTAGGGCAAAAATGAAAGCATGCTTAATGGGAATTCAAGCATGTTGACTGACAGGCACACCTTTAACCAAGGAAAAATACATTGTGAATGAATAACGTTGACAGTAAATATAAACAGGACCCTTTATTAATCAATAAACAAGGTAGCTAGGTGGTACAATGGATAGAGCATTGGACCTGGAATCATTAAGACCCGAGTTCAAATCTAGCATCAAACACTTACTGTGTGATCCTGTCCAAGTCACATCACCACTGTCTGCCTCAGTTTCCTCATCTATAAAATGGGGATAAAAAAAGCACCTCCCTCACAGGGATATTTGTAAAGCACTTAACAAACCTTAAAATACTGTATAAATGCTTGTTATTGTTCAATCATGCCTGACTCTTTGTGACCCCGTTGACCACAGCATGCCAATACTGTCTCTGGAATTTTCTTGGCAAAGATACTGGTCATTGGGTTGCCATTTCCTTCTCCAATAGATTAAGGCAAACAGAAGTTAATTCATTTGCCCAGGGTCACAAAGCTAGTGAGTGTCTGAGGCTGGATTTGAACTCAGATCTTCCCAACTCCAGGCCCAACACTCTATCCACTGAGCCACCTTGCTGCTTTGTATAAATACTAGCTATTGGTAATAGACTGTTCATCCTTCTTCCTTGTTCATACTATTTGTGACATGTTTATCTCCCCAGCATTTATTTATCTGTATGATCCAAAGGTCAGAGCTTTTAACTTTTGGAAATTTGTGAGGAGTGACTTTTTTTTGACACATGCTGTCTCATTGGCACTCAGGCAGAAAAATAGAGTTAAGCTTCAATTCTGGAACAAGAAATTTCTAGAAAGCCAGAAAGATGCATCCATAAAGTTGGTACATCAGGCAATACAGAAAGATTTTTATTATGTTTATTGTTTAAGGCAAGACATAGTTCCAGCTCCTACCCAGGAAAAAAAAAACCCAAAAGGCTGAAGAATTTTGGTGATTGGTGAGGGATGAAAGTCCCAGCTTTGCCACAGCAGCAGCTTCTCCATAGCCAGGCACATACTGAGCACTGATTGCAGCCAAGCTACCCTGAACAAAACCCTACTTGCCCCTAAGTGAGATTTTCTGACATGATTAGCCTCCCAGGTTGTCAAAAAGCATGTTTGGTTCAGTAAGAAACAAAACTTGCTTGCAGGTTGTCCCTCCATGTTGTCTCATAAACTGAAGCCCAAGTTGGTGGGCTATTGCCTTCCATTCAGTTCCTATATTTTATTCTAAAAGGCTGGGGTCCCCAATTTTTCTTCTACAGCCCCGACCTGCCCTCCCCCAATGCCATACTCTTCCCTAGTAATGGTGCCTTTCCTAATCACAAGCAGATTGGCCTTTTTCTGCTAAGTAAAACCAAATCTATCTACTATTACCTGGCAGAAACAGACTAGTCTTGGCCACAAAGTTAAGAATTAAATTACATCATCAAATCAGTTTGTTTAAAAATACCATCGGGTACTCTGTCCCTTTTTTAAATTAAAAAATGCACTCAAATCTTTATTGACTCCTATTTTATTCATTTAATTCAAATTTCAGTTTTATCTGTTCACGTTAAGAGTCCATGATATGCTATGGTGATATCCTGTGAACTCTAGGAGATTCTCACTTGAGATCACCCACTAATGGTGAGTAGCTCCTTGTTCTATTGCTAACAGACTGGAGTGAAATTCACATCTGAAATCGACAGACAAGGGAAGTTTTCGGGGTACCTGGTTCTGTGGAATGAGGTGGATGCTGCTTGAGGGTCCAGACTATGGCTATCCCAGAAAGCCCAGCTGACTGATGCAAGAGAACTCTTCCCAACTCTCCCCCCCCCCAAAAAAACCCAAGATCCTCCTAATGAAGACATGATAGAGCTCAGGCCTGGTATTTTCAGGTCCAAAGACTGATTTCTGCTAAGGAGTCCCAGCAGTCTGGTACCCATGGACTGTGCCATGCCTGGCAGAGATGGTGGCCCAGTTCTCCAGTATCACAGCAGCTAAGAGCTGGAAGGGGCCTTCAAGGTCACCCAGTTCAACCTATACCTGACGAAGAGCTAACTTCATGAATGAGTTGAAATCACAGCTCCGTATAAGGGAAAACCTCCTAGCAAGTCAAGGTCTCCAGAGATGGAATGGGTTGGCATGGTTTTCCATCGCTGGGGGGTCTTCAAGCCAAGGCTGGATGACCACGGGTGGAGGAAGGTGTCCAAAAGGAAAGCACAGCTCAGGCCTGGTAGGCTTACATGGTCCCTGAGCTTCAGTTCAAACCTCACCGGCTCTGTGTGCATATGTGTCTGTGTGTCTGTGAGTATGTACATGGTTCCCAAGGCTGCAAATTCCATTGAGTTTTTAAGAAGCCAAGACCTCCATTTAGTACCTGAATGAGGTAATATGTGTTGGCTGTCTTCCAAACCTCAAAGCACTATGTGAATCTTAGCTAGAAGGAACCCAAAATACCCGATGGCTGTCGTAGGGCTTTGTAGAAAACACTTTCACATGCATTTGTCTCATTTGGTCCTCAGACAGCCCCCCTCCCCAACCCAGCCCACCTCTAATCCTACAAGGTGGGGGATGGGGAGAACTCGACGGAAACAGGTTCATAAAAAGAGATTTGCCCAAGGCCACAGAGGGAAGGATAAGGGCCAGGTCTTCAAGGCTGTTTTTCACCAAGTAAAATGTGAATTAGAAGACTGGTCCCCTCAGGTCTGATACCACATTCTTCAGGCAATCACTTCCATGGAATCTTTCCATCCAATTCAATAAACATTTTGTCTACTATATGCATTGCAATGTGCTGGGTCCTGGTCTCAGAAATGACAAAAAGTGAAGCCCTCCCTGTCCTCAAGTTCCTTACATTCTACTAGAGTAGGGGCCTGCTCTGTAAGACTAAGGAGCCAGCAGTGATCCCAACAGCTAATGTTGAGGTATAGAGGACTAAGCCAGCTCCATGGGGATGAGTACAGATGCCCTGACTGCCCTCCCCTGCCCTGGGTGATCTCCCTGTGGACAAAGGCAGAAGCCATCCCTGGGGTGGGAGGGTGGAATTAAGGTAAGGAAGATCTAAAGAGGAGCCCACAGTCCTCCTCTCAGGAGACCCAGAATATCCCTGGATTGCTCTTGTCCCACAGATGGGCTCTGACCCAGGCAGGGATCTTGAAAAAGATAATGTTTCACTGGTGAGTGTTTTTCCTAGTTGAGGTCGTCATTGGGGTGGACTTCAAGATGAGGTCATTAGCTACCTGAATTACCTGCCTTTTGGGTCTGTTTCTAGGCCACACATCTGAAATGAGATTTCTTTTAAAAGAGAAATAACCAGCATTGGCTGGGGGGGGGGGGGGAAATCACCTCATTTATAGGTCATACACAGGTCTTCTGCAAAGTCTGTTTTGGAGAAGGCTGGCCTAGCCAGCAGTTTGCATCCATATGGGCCAGTATCTATGTCCAAAATTGTTCCAGAATTTGGCTTTGGGTCAGTAAATAAGGTCAAGCCATTGTTGGGCCTGCTTTCTTAAAGATAAACTCTCCTTCGGACACTCCCTTGCCAGGGCCACGTCAGGTCTTATCGCTGGGTTTCCAAGGTCCTGGGCCTGTAGACGGGAACAGCCTTGTCACAGAGTGCCGGAAGCCCTCGGATCATGTCAGAGGCTTTCTCTGCTATCATGATGGTGGGTGCGTTGAGGTTGCCACTGACCACACTGGGCATTATAGATGCATCCACCACCCTCAAGTTTTCCACACCAATGACTCTGGCCTGAGGATCGACAACTGCGGTGGGGTCAGAGGGCTGGCCCATCTTACACGTGCACGAAGGATGATAGGCACTGTCAGCCTTTGCCCTGACAAAGGCATCGATATCTTGATCGGACTGCACATGACTTCCAGGCTGGAGCTCCCGGCCCCGGAATGGCTCCAGAGCTTTCTGGGCAAAAATTTCTCTGGTTAACTTCACAGACAGACGGAACTCCTGAATGTCTTCTTCTGCAGAGGAAGGAGAAGAAGACTGGTGAAGATTCATCCTCGCCCATTCTCCCTTATTCCTTCCCTCCTCTACTTTATTCCCACTTGCCTGAAACCCCTATCTCAATACAAGTGCAGACCTCAAGTTAATGTCACATTGAAAGCTAAACTTGGAAAAGCAGTGACACCTGTGCACAAGATTAAATTATAGGTGCAGAGAATCAAGTGATTTGCCAAAGGGCACATGGCTAAGTGTGACAGCTTGGTCTTTAAGGCCAGAAGTCCTCCTTGCTGCTTTTCATTGAGGGATATTAATTAGAGATATCAGCTTTGCCTGTGTGCAGGGAATTAAAAGCCTCCCACCCTGGGAATGGCCAGGAATCCCTAGCTGAGAATATCAGCATCCCCAGCTGCATCCCAGAGGCAAGGGAGAATCAGGCGAGATAAGGTATGGATAGCGCTTTGTAAACTGTAAAGAAAAATGCAAACTGTTAAAAGGCAAACTAAAAGCCTTCAGAAAACACCATGGTTCCATCATCATTATCATCATCATCATCATCATCACCATCTTCATCTTCTTCTTCTTCTCCTCCTCCTCCTTCTCCTGATAATGATGATGATGATGATAATGACAATGAAGAAGAAACCAAGGTGTTTTCGGAAGTCTCTTAGTCACCTCTATTCATAGAAAATTCATCAACATAGAAGGTTACAAGTCCAAGTCATTTGATGTGCACCAGGACACAGGCCCACAGACCCTAATTCTGCAAAGAACTGAGGGGCCAGTCAATTAATTACCTGTTGACATGTAGTTAGGTTCAATAATTGGGTGGTCCATGGGGTTGGCACTTCTCAGTTTCAGCCAGCCCACACTCATACTCCGCATGGTCCCCACATGCACCTGGAACAGTTCAAACACACCAAGCCATGAAGTCCCCTCACTAAGTAATCCTCACACACAATAAACACTAACTAGATACTTGTTGAATGAATGAATACCCCCTCTACAACATACTCATCCTGCCTTCACCTGGAGGTGAACTCACTCATTAACTCAGTTGGAGTTGGGGGGAGGACAGCTCTAGGAAAGTCTTATGTCAGGCTGAAATCTGACTCTCGACAGCTTTCACCTGTAGCTGCTCTTATAACTGACCCCCTAGCCCTTGTCTAAACCTCCCCAAGGCTATGGAAATGTCAGCAGAGACACACCATGACTTTCACACATGCTCAATCCAGATCCTCCACCCCCACCCCCACAAAGGCTCCTAACTAGTGTTTGGCTGGGGTCTAAGGAAGCCTATGGTGTTCTTTTCAGAATTGTGTTCCTAAATAATTAAATTATTAAGTTTCAGCTAGAAGTTAGTGAAAATAAAGGTATTATTTTTCCCACATTCAAGTTCACAGACCCCCTGAAATTTATATCCATGGACCCTTAACCTCCAGTTTAAAACCCCTGCTGTAAGTCCACTTTTCATTCATTCATTCATTCATTCATTCATTCACAAAGGAACTAAGGACCAGAAACCAAGCAAAACTGTCCCCATATGATTTTTCTTTTTAAAAATGACAGGCACTATCGAGTTTTAGGAATTTAAGTCATAGGCTTCCTAAGGATGTTCAGAGAAACACCCAGGGCTTCCACATGAGAAGTTGCCCCAAGGAGAGCCCTCTTCTTTCCTACTTGAGTAACAAGGTGAAGCTCCTGGCAATGGCCAAGATGGTGCAGGGTGTGGGGCATGAACTATCTCTAGTCTTTTCCTCCTCACCCTCACTGGACTAGAAGCGTCCTGAGGATAAGATACAGCTTGCCAAACTTTGCCAAGTGGTCACCACGTTTGGTCTGGTGCTCAGCCAGCAATGGCACTTGTTGGTAATGAGGAGGAAGGTCATCTTCCACTGGAAAGCGGCCACAGGACCTGGCAGTGCCCACCCTGCTCACCTGATACGCTTCCTGCTGGATCGGGACTCGCCCGTGGTCAATCACTTGAGAAGGCAAGAAGTGGAACTGAATGTCAGGATGAGGAATACCAGGACGGCTCCGGATGAAGCCACCAGTTTCAAGATGGGCAGTAGATCCCCACCCTGAGGAGAGAAGAAGAGAAATCTTTTAAAAAAAAATCACACTATCTCAAGAGACAGTACACCAAGAGGGGGGCCTCAGAAACTGACTTGTGCAAGCTTGAACTGGGTTCAGTATCCCTGATGGGCACTCAGCCTTTGCTTGACCACCCCATGTGAAAGAGGACCTAAGATGTGACTCAGGAAGAAGTTAGGGGGCTGTGCCTATTGCCATTTGGGATACACTAGTAGACTCTTCCCTTGAATTCAATGAGTTAGCAAATTCAAAACACTAATGGCTTGACCACTTTGGTCATTACCTCCCTACTTCCTGTCTTCCCAGAGAAGTTCCCATGATCTAGGTCTTCTTCTAAGCCTGTGGAATTAAGAACACTTGGGAAGTGGAGCCAAGATGGTGGAGCAAAGGCAGGAACTAGTCTGAGCTCTCCCAAATTCCTCTCCAATATGACACCTCAAAATCAATTCTGGAGCAGTAGAACCAACAGAAAGACAAGGTGAAACAATCTTCCTCACCCAAGACAACTGAGAAGTTCAGTCGGAAAGGTCTGTCTCACTGGGGTAAGAGCGGAGTGCAGCCCACATCCCGGCAAGCCAGCAGTGTGCCTTGGGAGCGACCGAATTGGTAGTGGCAGCTTCTAGAGCTCTCAGACCACAGATCATAAGGGGGCCACACAACTGATCAGAAGGAGTTTACAGCGGACCCTTTGCTGGCACTGGGTGCAGGCATTGCCCATACATGGTTCTAGGTCACGGTCCTACGGTGAGGAGAAGCACTGGCAGGAGCAAGGATCCTAGTTACAGTTCCAGGGCAGAAAAAAGTGCTTGTGATTGCTCACAGAATTGAACACAGGCTAGGACAGCAGTAACTACACCTCTCCTTAGATCATACCACCTTGGAAACACTGAAAACTTGCAGACCTCCAGAGCTAGCTCCGAAAACAACTGCATAAAAAAATCTCACTATGATATCAGCGAAGGTCAAAATACAAACTCAGAAAAAGACAACAAAATCAAAACTGTGAAACGCAAAGCCTCAAAGAAGAATGTGAAGTGGTCACTGGCTCTAGAAGAGTTCAAAAGGATTTTAAAAATCAAATAAGAGAAATAGAAGAAAAATTGGGAAAAGAAATCAGAGTGATGCAAAAAAATAATGAAAAAAGAGTCAATAGCTTGGTAAAGGAGGCACAAAAAATGCTGAAGAAAATAGCATTGTAAAAAAATAGAAGAGGCCAAATGGTAGAAAAGGCACAAAAAATCCACTGCAGGGAAGAGCTCCTTAAAAAGTGAATTGGGGCAGCTAGGTGGGGCAGTGGATAGAGCTCCAGCCTTGGAGCCAGGAGGACCTGAGTTCAAATCCGGTCTCAGACACCTGACACTTAACTAGCTGTGTGACCCTAGGCAAGTCACTTAACTCCAATTGCCTCACCAAAAAGCAAAAAAAAAAAAAAAAGTAGAATTGCTACATGGAAAAGGAGAAAGAAAACCTCAATGAATAAAATCATTCCTTAAAAATTGAAATAGGGCAAGTGGAAGCTAATGATTCCATGAGACATCAAGAAACAATAAAACAAAATCAAAATAATGAAAAAATAGAAAAAAAAAGTGAAATATCTCTTCGGAAAAACAACTGATTTGGAAAATAGATTGAGAAGAGATAATTAAGAATTATTGGGTTACCTGAAAACCATGGTCAAAAAAGGAACAGACATCATATTTCAAAAAATTATCAAGGAAAACTGCCCAGATATTCTAGAACCAGGGGGTAAAATAGAAATGGGAAGAATCCACTGATCATCTCCTGAAAGCGATCTTCAAATGAAAACTGCCAGGAACATTGTAGCGAAATTCCAGAGCTCCCAGGTCAAGGGGAAAATATTTCAAGTAGCCAGAAAGAAACAATTCAAGTATTGTGGAAACACAATCAGGATACACAAGATTTAGAAGCTTCTGCATTAAAGCTTAGATTACAAAAAGAAATCAGAAAGCTAGGATTACAACCAAGAATCACTTCCCCAGAAAAAGTGAGTATAATTCTTCAGGGGGAACAAAGAGCCATTTAATGAAATAAAGGACTCTGAAGCATTCCAGATGAAAAGACTAGAACCTGATAGAAAGTCTGACCTTCAAATACAAGACTTAAGAGAAGCGTAAAAAGGTAAACAGGAAATAGCAATCACAAGGGATTAAAAAATGTTATACTGTTTACATTCCTACAGGGGAAGATGATACTTGTAACTCCTAAAGAACTTTATCATTATTAGTAGGAAGAAGGACATAGACAGAGGACATGGGAGTAAGTTGACCATGATGGGATGCTATCTAAAAAATATTGGGGAGAGAAGGGGAGAGAAAGAGGGATGCACTGAGAGAAGAGTGAAGGGAGAAGCAGAATGGGGCAAATTCACATCAAAGAGGCACAAAAAAGCTTTACAGTGGAGGGGAAGGTGGAGGAAGTGATGGGGAGCATGTAAACCTTACTGTCACCAGAATTGGCTCAAAAAGGGAATAACTTACACACTCAGACGGGTATAAAATCTATCTCACTTGACAGGGAAGGAAAGGAGGTGGCCGATAGACAAACTTGGGGAGGTGGGGGTCAGAAGCAAAACCCTTTTGAGGATGGACAGGGTGATAGGAAGGCTTAGAGAAGGATAAACAGGAGGAAAATAGTAAATACAGCGTCAGTAAATCATATCCGTGAAAAAAAAATTACGGCAAATTTTTCTGATAAAGGCCCCATTTCTCAAATATACAGAGAACTGAGTCAAATGTGTAAGAAGATGAATCATTACCCAATTGATAAATGGTCAAAGATAAGCTTAATAATGGTGATAATAATACTAATGATGATGGTGAGGGTGGTGATGATGATAATGATAAGAGTGATGACAAGAATGATGATAATGACTATGGGCATATAACTGATCATCGTAATAATGATGACGAGGATGATAAGAGCAATAATAGTGATGATGATGGTAATGATAATAATGATGGTAATAACAATGTTAATAATAGTAATAACGATGATAAAAACTATTATTCCTATAGTGCCTTATAATTTGCAGAGTTTTACAAATATCTCATTTTATCCTCACAACCGTGAGAGGTAAGTTACTATCATTCCCATTTTACAAATAAGGAAATTGAGGCAGACTGAGACTTTCCTAGGGTCACACAGCTAGTCAGTGTCTGAGGCCACATTTGAACTCAGGTCTTCTTGACTCCAGGCCCAGTGCTCTACCCACTGAACCACCCAGCTGTTTCATGAGCCAAGTAAGCCTTCTGCACACAGGAAGGAGGCAGGGGTACCTCAGTGAGTAATCTGGGGTCTTCCTGCTAGGCAGATTAGGGTGTGTCCAAGTGTTCTCTGTGCATGTTTCTCCCACCCTATGGCTGTTCTCTGTTCCCTCTCTGTAGTCCTTTCACTAAAAGGGGACATGGTCTGTGACAAGAGGGCACCTCAGAGCAGTGTAGGCTGCTTATCTCTGAAAAGGATACAATGTGAGATTGGGTACTTCTTGGGGGAAGAACAACCAGAGATTTCATTCAGGTGTGGGAAATACTCTCCCCCAAACAGATAGCACTTGCTTTGCCCCAGTGGTCTTTGGGAGTCACCTGGGGCATGAGGAAGTTCAGTGACTTGCCCCAGGCTTTCCTGGCCCTGTGTACCATGCCACCCCACTGCCTAATGAGGCAAGGAAGACTGAGAGCAGAGACGACTGGGGCATGGTCCCAGGACCAGTCTGAAACCCAAGGAGGAGACAAACCACGCCCCAAACCCACCTGAAAAGTTCCAGAGCCACTCCAGCCCAATGGACATCTTCCGAATAGGCTTCTGGGCTGAGTACAGAGTGATGGGCTGAGTGCATTCCTGCTGGATGTATATCTCCAAATGGTCCTGCAGGTTCTGGCCCACACCTGAGAAAGGAGGGGGAAAGTTATGAGGGGACCAGAGGTGGGATCCAGGACTGGCTCTGGGACCTGGAAGATGCCCTCATGGGACAGAGGGGGAAACCAATACCTAGAGAGGGAAAGAATGCCAGATGCTCTCTTAGAGGTCCTCACCACCTTCAGTGGGAAAAAGAATAGTGATTTCCATCCTCATCCAGGCAGGTCCCAGGACATTGAGATTTTGGGGACCCCTCGTTCTTTTACCAGGATGATTCCATGAAACAATCTTTGCCGTGATTATGGCTCTTTAGGTGTTAGAAGGGGAAACTTGGTTGATTGTTTTCTAGGAATTAATTTTGCTTTGACTTCTTAGTGCATACCACATTTTCTTAGAAAACAGCAAGAAAAAATATTTTTCAAATCTGAAGTAGGGCCTCTAACTCCAAAGTGTCTTCTGCTGTTGACTATTTCTTTCTTTTTAATTATTTCTTTCTGAAATCCTGACTGGCTTCCAGTCACTTCAAAGCAGTTATTCCTCAACAGGAAACCTCCTTCCTGGGGGATAAAAAACAGGCAGCCTGAGGTTGGCTGTTGAGACATTCCTCTGGCATGCCCAACTGGAAGGGACCAAAGAAGAGGCTGGATGCCCCCGACTAGGTGTCCTCTGGTGTAGGGAATGGGCCAGGGGCCTGCTGCCTTCTCGATGATTCTGCAAACCCTCTCTATCTACCGTCTCTGGGACTACAGTTGCCCAGATTACACAGTGAGTTGCTGATGTATTTACAGCATATAGGAAAATAGCTAGAGAACAGAATTTTACTACTGTGTAAGCTTACATAAGCCTGGGAATTAAAACACTGTAGGCTAAACTTAATCAAAATAATTAAATAAGTCTAGTATGAATTATTTTAATATTTTATACTCCAATACTGAACAAAGAATTATTTTTAGCTATTATAATTTTATTTCCATTACCTGAAAAACTTAGGGCAATTCTGATAAACTAGAAGCTTGTTGAGGGAAGAGAGCATCATTTTCACTTTTGTATCCCCAATGCCTGCTATGCAGTAGGTGTTTAATAACTGCTTGCTAGATGTATTGAAGACAGAGGACTGACTTTTATTTTGTCTTTGTATCTCTGGCTTCTGGTACTGTGCCTGGTATACAGTAGGTGATCAATGTGCTTACTCAAGTCAAGAAGCATTTATTAAGTGCATACCCTGAGCCATGTACCAGAGATGCTGTCAAGGAGCACTTCATCATGCACTAGGACAATCTCCTGACCAGGACAGGGCCCAAGGAGATAGCCCCCTGTCCAGGATCAACGCTTCCTGCTTGTGGGATCTCCAAAGTTCCCCTGGGATTGCTCGAGAGTGCACTGGGGGCTAAGAGGAGGCATGGCTAATTCTCCCAAGTGTCCTCTGATCCTTAGATGGAGCAGGGGGCATCTCTTAGTGGGATCATTTAGTCAATCACTGTCACCAAGAATCATGAGCGTCCAGTGTGGTCGAGATCGAGAATCCCCCTCTGCAACACACCCAACAGGTGGTCACTCAGCTCTGGCTTAAGGTCATCTAAGGAGTGGCTACCACCTCCAGAGACAGCCCCATCCCATTATGAGATAGCTCTAATTGATAAGAAGTTTTCTTGAACACCAAGCCTGATTCTTCTATTTTGAAATGTTGCCCCATTGTTCCTGGCTTGGCTCTCTGAGATCAGGCAGAAGAACAAGGCTCATTCCTCTTGTACAGTTCTTGAAGAGAGCCATTATGGACCCTGGGAGGCTTCTTGGAGCCCCATCTGGCAGGCCTGGGTTCTACAGAAAAGGGGAAACCTACCGGGAAGATTACAAACAATAGGGATCCCATGTTTCTTGAGGTCATCTGCGTTCCCAATTCCAGACAGCATGAGCAGCTGGGGTGAGTTGATGGCTCCTCCACTCAGAATCACCTCCTTGCTAGCATAAACCTGGAAAGTCATGACATGATTGAGGCCAGGAAACATTCCACAGGGGAGCATTTCCAATCCCCACCCACTCCGTCATTTCAACAAGCATTTGGGAAGCAATCAATGGAGTAAACCCTGTGGCAGACATAAAGAAGAGAAGGACCCTGCCCTCAAGGTGTTTCTGATCCAGTGGGGATGTGGAATGAATACACAGACTCTAGGATTGTAGATGGGTGAATATCCAGATTGTTTTTCAAGGAGAAGGTATAGCATATCCTTCAAACCAAAGAGCCAGATGTAAAACTTAGCAAAAATGCAAGAGCAAGTCATCGGAGGACTGACCTATGGGCCCTCAACAGGGGAATCGGGGATCTGCAGGAGCCAGTAAGGGTTCACTCACATCATGCCAACTAACTTGATGGCTCTTCTGACGGGTATCCCCTGTGCTGGCACAACAGCAAAATGCCAAGTGCCATAGATCCAGTACATGGGGATTTCCCACGATATTTTATAGACAAAATGGAGAAATTGGAGACTGAATTATAGTACAGGGAGGAGGATTTGGAATTAGTTGACTAAATGGATCAATGCCAACCTAGAGGATGCTAACTCTACTGAGATGTGCTACAGGGCTCGTGGCCCAAATCCACTGATTATTTTTCATCTGTGACTTGAGTTAGGGCACTAAAAGGAGGCTAATTAAATCTAGAGATGGCACAAAGCGAGAAGAAGCAGCCAATACACTAGCTGGTCATTGTCCTTCATTCTCAAAGACGACCAAAATGACATCACTGTTAGAGTCAAGTTTCAGTGTCTGACTGTGGCTGATCAGACCAATATGAGCTCGGAATGTTCTACCACAGGTCGGCACAAATAGTCCATGTGAGCACTTGGGCTGGATTCTCTAAATTTGTGCACCTCTCATTTCTTTTGAGCTATTTCAATTCTGCTTTGCTCATAGAGCACAGCGCCTTCTCTGATGTGGGCACGCCATGCTGGGCGGTCCTCCGCCAGTGTCGTCCACGTCACACAATCAATTCCAAAATTCTTAAGAGAGACCTTGAGAGTGTCCTTGTATCGCTTCTTCTGACCACCATGTGAACGTTTGCCCTGTGTGAGGTCTCCATAAAACAGTCTTTTAGGCAAATGTACCAAACAACTGGCCAGCCCATTGGAGCTGCCCCCTCTGCAGTTTAGTCTGAGAAAGAACCTCAGTGTCTGGTACCTTATCCTGCCAGGTGATCTTCAGAATCTTCCTAAGACAATTCTAATGGAAGCGACTCCATTTCCTGGCATGGCACTGGTAGACTGTCTAGGTCAATGGACATACAACAAGGAGGTCAGCACAATGGCTCTTGTAGACCTTCAGTCTGGTAGTCAGTCTAATACCTCTTCTTTCCCACGCTTTCCTTCGGAGCCTCCTAAACACTGGGATAGCTTTGGCAATGAGTGTGTCAACCTCATCATCTATGTGTATACCCCTGGAAAGTATACTGCCAAGGTAAGTGAACTTATCTACAGTATTCAAAACCTCTCCATTTGCTGTAACCAATGGTTTTACGTATGGATGGTGTGGTGCTGGCTGGTGAAGCACCTGTGTTTTCTTGGTGTTAACTGTTAGGCCACAAGTAGCATAGACAGCTCAGAACTGATCCATACTTTGTTGCATCTCAGCTTCAGAGACTGCATTGAATAAACAATCATCTGCGAACAAAAAAAAATCACACACCAACTCTCCCTCCACTTTAGTCCTGGCTTGTAGCCTTTTCAAGTTAAATAATTTACCATCAGTGCAGTAGTTGACCTAGCTGGTACAGTGGATAGAGCACTGGTCTGTGAGCCAGGAAGACTCATCTTCATGAGTTCAAACCTAGCTTAAGACACTTACTAGTTGTATGACCCAGGACATGTCACTTAACCCCGTTCACTCAGCTTCCTCATCTGTAAAGTAAGCTGGAGAAGGAAATGGCAAACCACTCTAGTATCTCTGCCAAGAAAACCCCAAATAGGGGCCGGAGGAGTCAGACACAAGTGAAAATGGCCGAACAACAACTAATACACTGGACAAGAGAGCTGAAGTCCCAAAGTCTTTGAAAAGGCTCTGACTCCCAAGTCTACACATTCAGCCCTTCCCCCTTCTGAGAATGCCAGTCTGGCAGACATGGCCCTATCTGGATCTTCTGGGGACCTCACAATATGTTCATGAAGACAATGAGTTTGTCCTCTTCCCCAGACTCTCCTCTTTCTGCTTAGAGCACCACCCTCCCTCCAGCCCTTCGAGCTTGTAACTCTGGCACCATTCGTGACTTTCTCTCTTGCCTCATTCTTTCTACCCGATCAGTGACCAAGGCCTTTCAATCCCATCTCTGTATCCTTCTCTGGCTTCCTTCCCCTCCTTTCAAATAACACAACTAACAGCCTGGTTCAGGGCCCTCGTCACTTCTCAATTGGACTAATTCGATATTTTCCTAACTGGCCTTTCTGCTTCTAGTCTTTCCCCTCTCCAATCTCTCCTCTATGTGGCTGCTAAGAAAAAAAATTCCTTCATAAGGAATCCTCACCCCCCATTAAAACTTTTAGTGACTCCCTATTGCCCATAGGGTAAAATACAAGTTCCCTGGCCTGGCATTCAAGGCCCTCACCCATCTGACTTCCATCTGCATTTCTAGCCTTTTTTTTTTCCTAATATGGTTCCCCTTCACATTCTCTAAGCTCCAGCCAAACTGGTCTCATTACTGTTCCCTGAATTTGAAATACTGACTCTACAAGCCATCCCTTGTACCTGGCCCTCACCCCTTACGCTCTTAGACTTCTGTTTCTTCAAGGCTTAGCTGAGCTGCCATCTTTCCCTGACCTACTCAGTTCCACAAATGACCTTGTGTTGACCTCTCTGGTGCCATGTTCCCTCAGCGGTATGTAAGCTTCTTGAGGGCAGGGGCTGTGTCGTCTTTGTAGCCCCAGCACAGAGTAGGCACTTCCCAGCATCTTAGATGTGGGAGGGGGAGTCACAGGCCACCTCATCTAACCTCCTCCTGATTAAGCATCCCTTCCCAAGTGGTCACCCAGCTTTGTCTTGATGCCCCACAGGGAGGGGAGCTCATCCCCATTTACAACTCTGGGACAGCTGTGCTGCTTGGGAAGGACATCATGATGTCCGGCCTAAGTCTCCTCTCTGTCTCTTCATTCCGCTCTCCTGATTCTGCTGTCTGGGACCGAGAACAAACATCAACCCGAGTCCGTTGAACGGCCCTTCACACACAGCCTTCCCATCTTGAGCCCTCTCTTTACCAGACTGATGCAGTGGACAGATCTGGAATTGGAAGACCTGGGTTCAAATCCCACCCCTGACACTTACTCCTGGTATGTTTGAGCAAGTCATTTAACTTCCTTAGGCCTTAATTTCCACATTTGTAAAATAAGGTTGGGTCAGAGGATTTCTGCAGTCCTTTCCAGCTCCAGATCTGTGCTTCTGTTATCTCTCTGGGCCTCAGTTTCTTCATATGCAAAATGGGGTAGCTGAACCAGATGGCTTCTGAGGTCCCTTCCAGCTATGGCCCTGTGATGTCTCTGGGCCTCAGTTTCCTCATTTGTAAAATGGGAGGGGGGAGTTGAACCAGATGGTCTCTGAGGTTCCCTAGAGCAATGGTATTAGCGGCCAAGCCTCACGTGGCCTGAAGCTGATGCTTAATCAATATTTGTTGGGTTTAATTGAATAATGAGGTCCCTATAGAGCTACGATGATGGCGTGTCCCAGAAAGCATGAGGGACGCCACCGACCCTCTGGATATAGTTTGGACTTGGTGGTTTCTGAGGGTCCCACCCAATTCTGAGAATCTGTGATGCAAAGAGGTACAAGAAAAGGTCTCCTGTGACGACAAGAGCCCCAAGAACCAGTGCAGACAAGGAGAGGTTACCTGGGTCCTATTTGCTTCTAAACCTAACCCTCTTTCCAACCAGTCACACTCACTAGACAATTCCTCCATCCAAGGCCCTGAGCTGGGGCCCTCCCAAGAACTCCCAGCCCTCCACCCCCCCTTCCTTGGCCTTGCTGCCCTCTCGCCCCAGCCTGAGAAGACCACAGGGGCCTCCAGAGCACTGCGTGTTTGCACTGGAAGGGACCTTTGAGACCAAAGACTCCCCACTCCTCTCCTCTGATAGGTGAGGAAACCAAACAGAGCGGCCAGGGCTGAACATGGCACATAGTATGGACAGAGTGAGTTCATCTGACCTTGCCGGTGTTTTGGAGCATTCCAGCCTGGAACCAGAGATCCAGAAGCTGGTGAATGAGTACCTGGCCCTGGCTCCCTGCCCCCGCTCCCCTGCTCCCTGCCAACACTGAAGCCAAGGAGCTTGTGGGCAAGCAGAGCTTTCCCCTCGGCCCCACCAAAGGGCACACTGACCTTTTTCTTCTGGCCATTCTGCACGTACTCCACGCCAATAGCTCTGGTCCTGTCAAACAGAATTCTGGTCACAAAGGTTCTGGATTCTGCCGTCAAATTGGGTCGGGCCAGGGCAGGATGGAGGTAAGCACTAGCAGTACTCCATCGAAGACCTGGGGACAGAGCAGAATGGTGGCCTTGGTGTGAAGTGAATTCAATTGTCCTGTCACATGCAGGCCAAATGCTGCACCTCCCAATTCAGTGGGTAAATGATTGCATCTCTGTGAGGCACTTGACAAGACCCTACCTATGGCTCCAATCTAGGCCCCAACTAAATCATTTCTAGAAGCATGTAGCTGCCCTACCCCCTGCCCCGGCTCCCAGGTGCTCAGACCAACTAAAAAGCCTATTTCCCGGCTGTAATGGGAAGTGATATGAGAGGAGAGAGGCTGGGAGCTTGCTGAATCTAAAGATAGGAAAACCCGGGTTCAAATCCTGCCTATGTGGTGTGACCACCTGCCAACCCCTTCCCTTCTCAGACCTCAGTTTTCTTCTCTGTAAAATGGGGCTAGCAATCCCTGAACTACCCACCACATAAGGCAGCTGTGAGGCTCAAATACCTATCAAGTACTTTGCAAAAAGTGAAAGGGCTATCTGGTATCAGCTACTGTTACTGCTTCCAGAGGGGAGAAAATCACTCTCCCTCCAGTGCTTTCTGTGGCCATGGATCCCCAGGGCTTCTAAACCAGGAGTCCTGGAACTTGTTTCTAAGAATATCTGGGTAACTCTTTTTCAATGTAATTCATTTCCTCTGTCATGCCATTTACGTTAGTTTGTGTTTAAGATCATGAGAAGGGGTCCACAAGCTCCCCACGCTGATGGCCCTAGGGGTCCAGGACACAATAAAGGCTCAGAATTCCGGTCCTTGTCCCTCTCTCCGCCCCCAGCATGTGCTCCCACCTGAGGCAGAGGGAGGGAAAGCCTGTCTTACGGAAGTTTTTTTTTTTTTTAATCCTAAACCACCCTGAGCTTCAAGTGGGTTCAGGTCACTCATACACTAGCTGTGTGACCTTGGTTAAGTCACGGAACTTGGGGGTGGGGGGAGAGAAGTTTATTTATCTGTAAGATGACATAATGTATCACCCAAAGCCTTCTCTAAATGCAGGGTCTCATTGTTATCAAGATCAGCTTGACATGGTTTTTGCCAAACCATGATGTCTTAGGGACTGAGGGAAAGAGGACCAGAGAGGGAGCTGGGACACTGAGGTCCTCGGTCCAATTTCCCCAATACAGTGATGTGTAAGTCGATGATCATAACTTCCCATCAACCAGAGGCCATCCCCTTCGCCCTTCACTATCTTCCTTTTCCTCATCTGTTATCTAAGACTGGTTTTTGGGGATCCCCTCTGAGAAGGGGGTTTAGGCTCCTGGATTAGGGGACCAGGCACGGGGAATGGCTGGGCTGGCTGCCTTTCTCTTTGGGCTTTGTTATCTCTCTTTCTGGAGTTCATCTTTAATTTATTCTGTTTCCAGAAAAACTAACAGGTCAAAAAAATGGGTGATATTTTTAAAAAAGGGGGAAAAAAACCAACTCACTGTGTGGCAAGCCTGTTCTCCTCTTTGGCCCCCGGTTTAGTCATGCAGAAAATGGAGCTCAACTCACCCACCTCCCTGACCCCACAGAAGAGACAGGAAGAGAAGAGGAGTGCGGGAAAAGCTTGGATCGAGTTCAAAGTACCCCTTGTCTGGGGAAGGGCAGGCCTTGGGCCTGCTGACCCGGCCCCCCTTTACCTTTGTAGATCGTCATGTCCATCCAGCCAAAGCCTTCCTGTTGGAAACCATTCATGTCCTCGGTGAAAGGGTAGCCTGCCTGCTGGGCTGCCTCCAGAAAGGTGCGGTGCAGGGGATGGTTACTCTTGCCCCTGGATACGTACAGGGGGCCCTCCCCTCCCCGGTACCGGTCAGCGCCCAGCTCGTGAGTCTGAGCCCTGCGGAAATAAGGCAGGCAGTGTTCGTAGTCCCAGCCCGCGGCCCCTTCCTTACTCCAGCGGTTGTAGTCCTCCGCGTGTCCACGGACGTAAACCATGGCATTGAGGGAGGAGGAGCCTCCCCAGACGCGGCCCCGGGGCCAGTACATGACTCTCTGGTTCAGCCCCTTCTGAGGCGTGGTATGGTAATACCAGTTGTACTTGGTATCGCAGAGGTTGGAGACCAGGGCCGCAGGCATGTGGATCTTCCACATGAACCGCTTACTGCCCACGAAGATGTCTCTGGGCCCCGCCTCGAGGGTCAGCACGGTGCTGCTGGAATCTTCTGACAGCCGGTGGCTCAGCACACAGCCGGCGGAGCCAGCCCCGACAATGACATAGCTGTAGGTGTCTCCTTTCCCCTCATTTGAAATGGCCTGATGGGCAAGCCTCACCAGCCCAGCCACAGGCGAGAGGCCCCACTTCTTGGAGGAGATTCGGAGGAACACAGCCATCCTCTTCACTGGGAGCAGCAAGACCTTTTGCCCTGGAAGACATAATCCAAGGGTATCACGCTCAACACTGATGAGAATATGGCAGCCGGGAAAGTCACCTGAAACTCAGGACCTCCGGCTGGCGTCGGGCCTCAGGGCTCCAGAGGCAATGTTCCTGGAGGGGCTGATCCAACCCTGGAAAAGGCCCCTCAGCACCTCTCACCAGCACTACTTCCTGCAAGACAGCACGAATTGGGCTCTGCCTCAAATTTCTCCCTGCTGCAATCCTTTCTCCACTCAGTTGCAAAAGTGACTTTCTGTATTTTTTTAATTTAATTTTTTTGGAGACTGAGTCTTGGTATTGCATACAGTATCTAGCACACAGTGGCTGGTCAATAAATGTTGACCATCTCGCTCGGGCTGGAAGTACAGTGGCCTCTCACCAGCTCAATCCTGCTACTGACCAGCCTGGAAGCTTTAATCCACTCGGTTTTTCTTAGGGGGAACCGACTACCTCTCCTTAGGCAGCCTAGGGGGTTTACTACATTGCAGCCGCCCTAGAAAATGGTCTCACTGCAGCTCAGAACCCCAGAGCTCCAGTGGTTCACCAGCCTCCACCTTCCTTGTACTACTGGACAGCAGGCCAGCCCCACCGCGTCCGAGCCCCACCGCGTCCGAGCCCCACCGCGTCCGAGCCCCACCACGTCCGAGTCTAAAGTGCACATCTGACCATCACTGCACTCCACTGGCTCCCTATTACCTCCAGGATCAAATACATATACCTCTATTTGGCATTTAAAACCCTTTGCCTCCAGGCCCTGACCTTCCCTTCCAACTTCATCACTTCCTTTCACCCACTCTACCATCTAGCCAAACTGGGCTCCTCACTGCTCTTCATCTGGGACACTCCATCTCCCACCACCACGTCTTTGCTCTGGCTGGGCCTCACCCCTGGAATGCTCTCCTACTCCACCTCTGACTCTCCAAATTCCTAGTTTCCCCCAAGCACCAGCTTCTCCATGCAGATCTTCTCTGGAGACAGACGCCCTCTCCCGACGAGTTACCTTGTGTTTTTTGGACATACCCACAAGGGTCCAGCAGAGGTCTGCCCAGAGCTTGAGATGGGGGTACCAGCGGCACACCCTGAGGAAGCATTGCCATTGGCCTTCACCTTAAAGGGGATAAGAAGGGCCAAATGAGAATGCTCTCCCTGGGGATGCTTCAATCTCAGGTCTTTCAAGTCTTCTGCTCTATCCACTGAGTCACCCAGCTGCCACAAGCAGGAGGTGGACCAGAGATATGCTGACTGCATTGAGAAGAAAGCCAGACTGAAACCTTCAGGTCAGAAGACCACCGATTTAGAAAGAGCTGAAGAGTTCCGCTTCCAGGAGCCAAGAGGGTGGAGTAAGAAGTGAGTCGCTCTTGCCATCCCTTATTAGCCTCCGAAAGCCCAGAAAATATCACCCCAGGAAAAACAGCTGAACCAGAAGAACGACGGATGTAGTAGTCCAATAGCTTGAGGGATTAACAGAAAAGGCCCTTCTTGCTCTGGGGAAAGGGGAACAGTATAGAAAAGGAGATGTCCCAGCAAGCTAGCAGAAAGTCCCACTTCAGCATGCCAGAGGGAGATCCAGAACCCCAGGTGGTGGAGCAGGCAAACACCAACACCAGGACCCCCTGAGCACCTCAGTATGGGCAGGGGAACCAGTGGAAACTGGCTTGGAAAACCACCATGTGCCTCAGTGTTCTATGGTAGCCAAGTCTCCCAGTGCCTCAGTGAAACTCTGGGAAGTGCTCCAAGGGGGAAAGCCCCAGTCAGAGAAACATCCCACAGCAGCGAAACATCCATCTGAAAGGAGCTAAAGAAAGCAAAAGAAAGGAAAGGCCCGTGTGAGCAGGCAACCTCCAGGGGCCAGACTACCCAATCCTACCCCTAGAGTTCCAGTGTTGCTGATTCCAGCCCAACACCAGGTACGCTGCCAGAACCCTACAGCCTCCAACTGCCAACACTGGAGGCCCCAGCACACAGGGCCAAGGCTTCCAACACAAGAAGCTTGGGGCAGTGCCCTCTGCTCCTCAGCAGGAGAGCTCAATCTTTTTAAAAGTCAGGAAACAAGCAAACACCACAAGCAAAAAGAAACATATTATAGATTCTTATTATGGAAACAGTGAAGATCAAGGCAGAAATTCTGAAGAGGACAACATTGTCAACAAACCCACATCTGGAGCCTCAAAAGGGAATATGAACTGGTCTGAATCCCCAAAAGCCTTCTTGGGAGAGCTCAAGAAGGACTTTAAGAGTCAAATAAGAGAGGTAGAAGAAACACTGGGAAAAAAATTGATAGGTATGAAAGAGAGAGTCAATATCAACTGAAGGAAACAGCTCCTTAAAAAGCAGAATTGTCCAAACAGAAAAGGAGACACAAAAACTCACTGAGGACAAGAATTCCTTAAAAAATAAAATGGGCCAAATTGAAAAGGAGGTACAAAATCCAATAGAGGAAAACAATTTGTTAACGATTAGAATTGAAAAAAATGGAAGCTAATGACTCTATGAGAGAGCAAGAATCAGTCAAACAGAAACAAAAGAATGAAAAAAGATGAAAACGTAAAATACCTCATTGGTAAAACAACTGACCTGGAAAACAGATCCAGGAGAGATAATTTAAAAATTATTGGTCTACGTGAAAGCCATGATCAAAAAAAGAGCCCGGACAGCATCTTTCAGGAAATCATCAAGGAAAACTGCCCTGAGGCCCTAGGACCAGGGGGTAAAATAGCCACGGAAAGAATCCATCAATCACCTCCTGAAAGAGATCCCAAATTGAAAACTCCAAGGAATATAGTAGCCAAATTCCAAAATTACCAGGTCAAACAGAAAATACTGCAAGCAGCCAGAAAGAAACAATTTAAATATCATGGAACCACTGTCAGGATTACGCAGGACCTTGCAGCTTCTACATTAAAAGATCATAGGGCGTGGAATATGATATTCCATAAGGCAAAGGAACTTGGATTACAACCAAAGATCAACTACCCAGGGAAAATGAACATAATCTTTCAGGGGAGGAGATGGACATTCAGTGAAATAAGGGACTTCTAAACCTTCCTGATAAAAAGACCAGAGCTCAACAGAAAAATTGATTTTCAAATACAAGATTCAAGAGGGACATAAAAAGGTAAACAGGACAGAAAAAACAAACAAACATGTTATTAATAAGGGCAAACTGTTTATATCCTTACAAGGGAAGATGATACTTGTAACTCTTGAGAACTATATTGTTATTGCACCATGTTAAAGGGGTATAAAGGGGGTGGGTATAAGTTGACTTTGATGTAATGATAAAAAAAATCTAATCAGGTGGGTTAAATAAATGTAAGTAAGTGGATTAATCTGATCTAACTAAGGAAATGTAATGGGAGAAAAGGAAAGGAGGAGGCAGACAAGGGTAAATTAGTTACAAGAAAAGGCACAGAAACCTATTACAGTAGAGGCAAAGAAGGGAGGGAGATGAGCATTGCTTAAATCTTACTCTCATCAGATTTGGCTCAAGGAGAGAATAACATAATTAGTTAGGTATGGAAATCTAAACTGCACTATAGGCAGTAGGAGGGAAAAGGGGAAAGAAAAGGGAGGGGGCTAATAGAAGGGAGGCAGGACTGAGGGAGGCAGTGGTTAAAAGCACAACACTAGTGAGGAGGGAAAGGGAGAAAGGAAAAAGAAAAGTATAAACAGGGAGGAAACAGGATGGAGAGAAAGACACAGATAGTAATCATAACAGTGAATGTGAATGGAATGAACTCTTCCATAAAATAGAAGCGTATACCAGAATGGATTAAAAACCACAATCCTACAGTATGTTGTTTACAGGAAACACATTTGAAATACAGGGACACACACAGGGTAAAGGTAAAAGGCTGGAGCAGAACATATTATCCTTCAGCTGAAGTAAAAAAAAAAAAAACAGGGGTAGCAATCCTGATCTCAGACAAAGCAAAAGCAAAAACAGATCTTATCAAAAAGAGATAAGGAAGGAAACTACATCCTGCTAAAAGGCACTGTAGACAATGAAGTAATATCATTACTAAACAGATAGGCACCAAATGGTATAGCGTCCAAATTCTTAGAGAAGAAGTTCAGGGAGTTACAGGAAGAAATAGACAGCAAAACTATACTAGTGGAGGACCTCAACCTCCCCCTCTCTGAACTAGATAAATCCAACCACAAAATAAACAAGAAAGAAGTTAAGGAGGTGAATAGAATATTAGAAAAGTTAGGTATGGTAGGCCTCTTGAATGGGGATAGAAAGGAATATACTTTTTTCTCGGTGGTACACAGCACACGCACAAAAATTGACTTTGTATTAGGGCATAAAACCCTCACAATCCAATGCAGAAAGGCAGAAATATTAAATGCATCCTTTTCAGATCATGATGCAATAAAAATTATATGCAATAAAGGGCTAATTGGAAACTAAATAATCTAATCCTAAAAAATAAATGGGTAAAACACAAATCATAGAAACAATCAATAACTTCATTCAAGGGAATGACAACAATGAGACAACATACCAAAACTTATGGGATGCAGCAAAAGCAATTCTTAGGGGGAAGTTTTATATCTCTAAATGCTTACATGAATAAAATAGAGAAAGAGGAGATCAATGAATTGGGCATGCAACTAACTAAAAAAACTAGAAAAAGAACAAATTAAAAATCCTCAATTAAACACCAAATTAGAAATGCTGAAAACCGAAGGAGAAATTAATAAAATTGAAATCAAGAAAACTATTGAACTAGTAAATAAAACTAAGAGCTGGTTTTATGAAAAAAACCCAATAAAATAGATAAACCTTTGGTTAATTTAATTAATAAAAAGAAAGAAGAAAACCAAATTATCAGTATCAAAAATGAAAAGGGTGAATCCACCACCAAAGAAGAGGAAATTAAAACAGTAATTAGAAACTATTTTGCTTAACTGTATGCTAATAAATTTGACAATCATAGTGAAATGGATGAATATTTACAAAAATATAAATTGCCCAGATTAACA